TTGGAGAATTCTGAGGAAAGAAGAAAAAGGGGATTGCGTCCCTGAGAAAGAACGAGAACGAGGGGAAACAGACCTCACTAAGGGTTTTTGAGCACAAGATGGAATCTAAAAAGGAAGAAACAAGTATTTATAAAAGCATCCTAGGCATATTGAAAGAAGCCAACTGCCGCAGTCAATGCCGAAATCTGTAAGAACGATGCATGTAATGCTCCTTAATACCTTGTATCCGTTCGCAAGGGCACCAGAGGAAGCAGGGGTCAGAACCGTTTCTTATTGTTTCTTGTCGCCTTCACTCTAAGCAACGCGGAGACTATCTGTATACGGCGAATACGGGGGCCTGATTCCCCCCGTCATAGAATCGTCTCACAGTCGTGCCCCTCGAAGCCAAAGGTCGAGACTCATCCTCGAGGCTCGATGTATATATCGGCCCGAAGGATATTGTATTTTGACAAGTACAGTAAGCTATGACTGGCGAGAGGGGAGTTCCCGAGGCACGCAACTTAACCTGACATGGTTGGTCTATCCGGGGCCTATTTTAAAGATGTCATGTCTAGCCTCCTATCTCCATACCTTTACGATTAAGACGTTCTGTACCTTAACGGATTCCCCTCCTATATAAAGGGGATCCCCATTACTTTGTAGACTCGACTGATGTTGCTCCAATTCCCTTCAAGAGCAATAATATCTCTCTCTCTCTCTCTCTCTTTTCTTTCTAACTTGTTCGTTCTCACTAGCCCGAAGTTGCCTCGATATCCGTCATTTTCTTACTTGTTCTTCATCATATAACCTAGTATTGGCCATAAAGAGCCTTGTTTAATTATATCTTCAATTGTTATCCCATCCCCGACTATCCCCGATAACTCAAACTCGACCCTGACATCGACCCCGAGGTCCCTCATCGACCAGACCTATATCCGGGCAGCAGGCCCTTCGGTTCAATTATTATCTCGTTTTAGCCTGTATTTAATCTTTAAACTCCATATTATTAGCATCAACTGCTCTAACTAGCTCGGGAATAGATCACGTATTTTTAGAATCTCATCTATAAATTTAATTGTTGTTACCATTTTTATGATAAACAATTTTGTTTCTAACAATTTAGAAGAGTTTCTCTCTAGTATATAAGGGGGACAAAAACCTCGTAATAGGGCATCGATACTATGGGAAACTTACTATTCTTGAATGAAAAGAAACTTAACAACCATCTTCTCTTTATCTACCATTATTCATTCTAGAGATTATTATTTTCAGCTAAGATTTGCCCCTTCATCTTTGATTGATTTGTTCAAAAGGTTTTAACATCTTTTGAGTCAAACAAGGAGAACAAAGAGTGTAAATTTGACTAATTAGTTTCTTAGTTAAATAATATCCTTTCTAAGATAAGTTAAATAATGTTCTTTTTATATCACCGTAATTTATGTCAATTCACTTTCTTTTTCCCTCCATCGCATGTCCCGAAATTTTCATTTGAAATGAAGCCATGTTTACAACAAAAATAATTACTGAATTATGCAACATTCTATCCTTGCTCCGTGTCATAGTAATACGGGGAGGGGACAAAAATAATTCTCTCTGTCCCAATTTAGTTTTTTATGTTTGGTAAATTGATTATTTTTTGTTCTTGTTACATTTAAACCACGCGACAACAATAATTTTGTGAAATTGGTTTATGAGAAGCACATGATCTATTATTCTCTCAGTCCCAATTTATGTGATACTCTTTCTTTTTAAGTCAATCCCAAAAAGAATCTTAATTCCTTATTTAAAAATATTTTATCCTTAGTCATATTTTATTCCTAATAAATTGATTTATAGTGACATAAATATTCATAACTTATTTTAGATAATAAATTTTAATTTTTCTTTCTTAAACTCGATGACGAGTGTTAAATTGGGAGAAAGAGAGTAAAACAGAGAAACCATAGAGTCAAGTTTCTAAGAGCCCGTTTGGGTTAGCTGAATTTAAGTAGTTTTTAAGCAGTAAATACTTAAAAGCACTTTTTAAGTGCTGGAGTTGAATTTATAATTAATCAGTTATGTATTTAGATAAAAAAGCAGGATCTGAAAATAAGCAATTGGTGTGTTTGGTAAAAAGTGCTGAAAAGTTCTTTTTCTGTTAAGATGATTGAAATACTCTTAAAATTGTTAAGCGAAAAATGAGTTTGTTATTGCAATAATTTTAAATTTTAAATTAATTCAAACACAAATTAAGTTATATCTCAATTAACTTTAAGTTATAGATTGTTTTGATAAGATTATTTTTAATAAATATAAATTATTTTATAAAGTATTTTTAAAAAAGCATTACCTTTGTTTTTGAAATATACAATAAATTAGAGTCGTCTCACCAGCACAACTTGAAATTTGCCACATAAAAGCCAAACAAAGAAAGGCATCCACAGTGGCAATATTGTCACTGCCCTATCAAGATACTTGTATTGAATCAAATCGCTCAATTACTCCATTATTCTTAAAAGAGGCTACAGAACCATGACCAAAATATCTAGAGCCACATCTATACCTGGTAGAATGTCCAAAACAAAATTGAAAATAGCTAATGCCAATTATCTTATAGAAATTACAAGCGTTCAGCATATTGCCAAATATCATCAGCAATCACGTCACAAGTAGCCATCCAAATGTTGTCACTTTGATTTTTCACCTTTTCTACGTTTACGCTATTAGCCCCAGAGATGTGCCAACATCATACTCAATAGATGGAATATATTTCTCATCCTCGACTGCTCGAAATGCATCATCCACCTTACATTATTTATAATATAATTATGAATGGCCATAGTAATGACGGTATCCCTCTGGATATCAATGTGAAGAAAATAAAAATTCTTCATAAGCTCTATACAATAATATTCTAGCCTAAAAAGTAAATAAATAAAAAATATTTCATCATAAAAGGAAATAGAAAATAGTAGCTTCTAAAATTCTTGATTGTGATAGAAGCTAAATGTAATGGGTGACTAATATTCTTTCTGTAAATAGAGCATCCACATGATGCAAATAATAAAAACTTCCTTTTTTTCCTACAAAAATAATGATAATTTCAACCTCCTAAAGTGCATGTTGCCACATTCTTCCTTACTTTAAATAAAATTCATATATAACAAGTTATCGACGATAGAGCAATACACTTGCACTCAATCTAATTAACGGAAGAATTTGCAGATAAACAATCTATAGCTTCCCTTGCAAAGAATGATCGATCAGCTATACTTTTTCTTCATTTGTAGCCAAACAATGCATTATCTTCGGGAGAAATTCAAAAATAGCCAGATTTACAAGTGATCATTCAAAAATAGTCATAGTTTCAAAAGTAACCGAAATTTAGCCACTTTTCATGTAAAGATAAATCTGAACGAAAATACTATTCAAACTCCGGAAAATACTCCAGCATAATATACTGGAGTTCCAGCATAAGTATATTGGAACTCCAACATATTATAATGGAGTTCCAGCATAAGTATATTGGAACTCCAGCATAATATACTGGAGTTCCAGTATAATATATCGGTCCAGCATAATATGCTTGAAGTTCATACACATGTGCTCCAATCTCCAGTATATTATGCTGGAACTTTTCGCGTGTTGGAGTTCCAGCATAATATGTTGGAAGTTCATACACAGGTACACCGATCTCCAGTATATTATGCTGGACCGGTCCCTGTTACAGCAAAATAGTGGCTATTTTTAATGACTTTGCAAACGTTGACTATTTTTAAATGAACAGTCCAAAAACTGGCTAGCCCGTGCTATTTTTATATTATCTTCCTCGTGAATGCAAAAACTCATAAATTGTTCATAATATTAAATTGTTTATTATTAGAGCAATTATTACTTATGAATTGTACGATGCTATAAAGTGGACTATTTTCTCCAATATGTTCAATTTTATGATAATGATTCTCTACTATGCAACAGAAAAAAATTGCATCAAATAATGACAACAATATACTCAGGACTATAGTGATTTTATGACTGATATATAATAGAAACAAGGATATACCATAAACATTGCAACTATTCATCCATGCAACGTTAAATTGCTTCAACCATTCATATTAAACTTTCTTCAAATAATAAAAGAAAAAAGAAGGGACATAATTGTTTGGTTAGTAAATCAATAATGATCTTAAAACGAAATAAAACCAAAGTAAAAGAGAGGACCTTATCTTAAATTGATTAACAACGTTGTCTACCAAGCAACTCAACCTCCAAGTTTCTTTACTGCATGTAGACTTTTATCTCCAAACGAGGAAGAGATTGTGAGCTCGAGTGAGAGATGAGGGATTGAGAGATTGCAGCGTAGGAAGGAAAGTTACGTTCTCTGGAGAAAGATTGCAGAAAGAAAACATCAAGATTGACTGGGAAAAGAAAAGAGTCGTAGATAGGGTTTTAACGAGGGTATTTTGGGGTTTATAAAATAATTGAAGGGATAGTAAAGTAAGTTTTTTGGTCAAACGAAAAAAGCTGTTAAGCTAAAAAGAACAAGTTTGGGGTGACTAACTTATGACTTTTAGCTTGTTTTGGCTTAAAACACCTGGACTTAAAAGTACTTAGATGTTGAGCAAACACCAAATTAAGCCAATAAAATGCTTAAGCCCACACAAACACCCTCTAATTAATTTTTCCAACTCGTACCTCAAAAAAAAAAAATTGAATTGAATATCCGTTCAGTGATTGACATGTGTCCCAAGATTCCCCGGAACCACTCATACTTGAGCAAGTGAAGAAAAAAGAAGCCTTCAAAATGATTCATTTTAGGCCTTCCGAATTGGCCTTTTAACCCACTCAAAGACCTCACAATTATTAAAATCCTTTTCTAAGAAATAAAATGATTATTAAAATCCCAAATAACGAAAGGGAGATTTTAACCACACGTGCACCGCACGAGGCAGTCACCTCACAAACCAATGGGCACGCGTTTATCAAAAGTGGGACCCGTCACATGAGAGTCACCAACATCTCCTCATATTCCCCACTGTCTACGCGCTCTTCTCAAGCGCGTCTAAATCACCTCTCCACGACAACAATCTCTGCAACTAGCACTGTAGACTAGAATACAAAATTCGCAGCCAGCCAACCAAAATCAACGCTCACCGATCAATTCCGCCGGTGATGAAACCTCCCCAAAATCCGCACCTACGATTTAATCTACACCACAGGATTTATGCGTACAGTATACAGGTGATTGATATACGTTTATGAGCTCTATGATTGGCGTCTGCCTCCGATTAATCATGGAGCTTTTTGATTCTCAATTGATTACTTTTTTGCTTTTTTAGGTAATCATTCGTTATACCCTTTTCTTCTTCTACTACTTCAATAATTTTGATATTTTTCTTTAATTTGAGTTATTCGTATGTGAAATGGCTTATCTTGATTTTTAGCTTCCTTCTTTATTGTAATTTCTTAAAATTATTTTGTGTGTTTGTGGTTGATGATAATCTGGTGATTATATTAAATCTTTTCCCGTGTGGATAATCCTAAAGGAGTGATTTTTATGTTTGCATGGCTTCATGACTGTAAATTTATCTTTTAATTTTTTTTGATTATCTGAGTAGTAACTCTAATTGGAATTCTCTTGTGGGGCGGTGGGGGTGGGGGAGAAATTGTCTCGAATAACCTATTATCTCTCAGAATTAAACGGTCTGAGCTAAGAACAAATAGGGAAAAAAACAAAGGTTTCATATAGGCATATCAACTAGTTGAAATTAACTTAGTTGATAGAGAACTTGCATGAGGTCAGGAGTTCCCTCGGGGTATTTTTTCATCTCATTAGCAACTAGGAATAAGTGCGAGATTTTAGAGAAACTCTAATTTTAGAAATTAAAGAACCCCTAATTTGTCTTATTCACCAATATTAGAATGAAATAAGTCTGAGTAAAGCAAAATGAATATTAGAGGATTCATACATATAGCCCATTCTAACTAATAGCTTGAGGCATAGTTAATTGATCGAGTTGCCTGTTTTTGTTTAGATTAAATTGGTTGGGAATACAAAGCTTCAATATTGACTCTAAGTCTGGACTTCTTACAGCTCTGCATTCAGTTTATCTGGTTGGGGTACTTAGATAAAGGCGGGCGCTTTAGGTTATAGCGTATTTCTAGTGCTAAATTAGCTTGACATGATCAATTCTAGTCAGAGCAAAAGAAAAAGATGAAGATAGGAGGTTAGTCTCATTCTTTGATTGTTAGGAGGTTAGTCTCATTCTTTGATTGTTAGGAGGTTAGTCCTTTATAGACAGGGTTTAATTAGCAAGTGGGTTCTTCTTGCATTTGGAAATTTACTCATCTCTTATCCGGACGTGACGGTGCTACGCAGCTGTTCAACATTGTCCAACTCAGTGCTACATTAGTTTGTTACTGTCTCACTTAAGTCATTCATTTTTTGGATTGAAACCAAAGGCATACGAGCCTTTTTCTTCTAACACAAGCTATGCTCATGTTTTGTGCTAAATTACTTGATTTTTTTGCCAGTAATCTCGACTCTCATAACTTTGTTCTTGCATGGTTGAATCCTTACTATAGATGCGAGAGAATGAAAGCCTTGATGTCAACATAATGCCTTTCATTCTGAATTCATGGCAGAAATCATAATTCTTCTTGTTTGACTCATCAATGAAATAATCCTGTTGGGATTTCTAATGTGGATAAGTGTGAAAATGCATAATACTTCCATGTGTAGGAGCTGCAATGATGCAATTCCGCTTTATTTTATTCAACATTGCTACAACATAAGATTGTGACTGTGATGAGTTTCTTTGGTTGGCAAGGTTGCAATAGTAGTGTTAAATTACATAGAATTACTATGGTCACAAAAAAGATTCCAGATGTACCATATGTTCTACTTGGCAGTGCCAGTGTCCTGCATCATCGAGCGCTTGGTTGTAAGTTAGCTGTCATATTTTGAAATATGACTTTCATGTGTTGGGTTTTAGCATGTACCTATCTTGCACTGTTTACTGAATTTTCTCCATTGACAAAACTATGCTTGACCATCTAAATTATCCTTAATATGTCAAGACTCTAAGTTTATCTTGTATATTCCTTTTCAGCTGTAGTACCCTTGTTGTTTTCATTCATAATAATCCATGCTACTGCCTATTGATGTTGCTAACCACTTAATCTTTAATATAGTTACTTCTTTTTTATTCTTTCAAATTTTGTGTCCAGTTATGAGCACCGTGGGTGCTTAATAATCCTAAATGCAATGTATGCATCGTATTGGCTTTGAGGTTCTTGGGGTTTTGAATCTGATGTCCTGCCGGTGATGCAGGATCTGGCCGCAGGTGACTAAGAAATTAAAAAGACATTATTTGAGGTGAATATAGCAGTGTGCCGTATTCCTGCACAAAGTTCAAATGGAAGCACGTCCCGCCGTGTCTGTTCAAAGTGTGGTTGCAAGTCAACTCAGTAATTGTGGTGCATCAGGGGCACTTTCTTCTTCTTTCCCTATGCTTCCAACAGTCCTAGGAGAGAAGTATCCTTTGTTGCCAGACTTGCAGCAGGCTTCGACGGAAAAGGAACTCAAGCAACATCCTGGAACTTTTGTTTCTCATTTGCCTTCCAACAGTGGGGCTGTTGGTCTTATGTTTTCATCATCATCAGGATTCTCGGCGGATCTTCATTTCTCATCTGTTCCACCCCAAGAAAGTCACTCAGGACCTGCACCTTTCATTTCTCAGTCAACAAATAGTGAGACATCAATCCTATTACCTCATTCTGGAGTTCTTCAATCCACAGCATCTAGCCAATATTTGAACGAAAACAATGAACCCTGGTGTATAGATCCATTGCCTGATTTCCTTGACTATTCGATGAATACTCCTGTCCAGAATAGTCAGCTAGCTTGTAGCAATAAACAAAGTGATTGGCAGGAATGGGCGGACCTCGTAATCAATGAGGAAGATGCTCTGACTTCTAATTGGAACGAGATCATGGCTGATACAAGCCTTGCCGAGACAGAGGTGAAAGTCAGCTATATTTTTCTGAATTTTAATCCTCATTCATTTACTTTTCTTCTTCTTACTTTTCTTATTGATGATGAAAGAACAAAAGGAGACCCATTCTTATTTTGTTTGTTGTGTGATCAAAGATGCAAGATCAGGAGGAAAAACAACCTTCAAATTTCCCAATGCAGCAAGTCCAAACATCACAGCAAATCCCAGCTGTGGCTGTAGAAAATTCAGCTATTGCTCCTGCATCATCCCCTGCAAGTGGTGCTGCAACAAAGCAACGCATGCGTTGGACACCAGAACTTCATGAAGCCTTTGTGGAAGCAGTCAACAAGCTTGGTGGAAGTGAAAGTGAGTTCTCTTGTTGTGCATCATAAATCAATTTTTAGTATTACACTGTTGTCTGACTCAGGATTTTACTTGAACTGCAGGAGCTACTCCCAAAGGTGTGCTAAAATTGATGAAAGTTGAAGGTTTGACCATCTATCATGTAAAAAGCCACTTGCAGGTTTGTGCAACCTCTTGTCCTCAAACTAGTTCCCTTTTGAGATGTACCTGTTGTTTTTCCTTACTGATGAATATGAACTTTTTTTTACTGAAATGCAGAAATATCGAACAGCTAGATATAAACCAGAAGCATCAGAGGGTATGTAAAAATTTCTCATTGTTTTGTGTCTGTCCCAGGAATTGGACTTGTGCTCTGTTTGAGATCTTCTTATGCGTGGTATTTTTGCCATGCTTGGGTTGGGAATTGTTTGAGATATGTTAAGAACTGAATGAGATAATGTAGTGGGAAAGTTATAGCAGCGGAAACTATACAGAGTGTTGGGACTACTTAAGGGAAACCAAAAATTTTGCACACGATTTCCGAAATCATACTTTTCTTTTGTTTTGTATACTTCTCGTAGCCTTGNCTCTCTCTCTCTCTCTCCTTAGCCAAATCTTTTCTTTCAAACTTACACTGCATGCCTTATTTTCGTCTTTACTCCTATCCCTTTTTTCCGATAAGTAAAGAAGAACATAACAAACTGATACTGCACCAGCACAAAACAGTCTACTGGATTCCAAAAGCTCCAGCATACATCAATGTCATTAGCAAAAGAAGCATTACACCAGCATTTCTAAATATGGATACATCTAAATCAGATTCTTACAATTCTTTCTCAGTCAAAAAATAACCTCCCATATCAGAGTACTACTCCATCCATCGTTTTTTTTCCGGTCATTCTTTTGCTTTTTCACTCATTTTAAAAAGTAGCCACATTTTTCCTTATATTTACCCACTTGAACTAAAACCTGTCTTATAAGGACATATTGTGGTGAAGGCTAGTTTTTGAATGAAAAAAATCTTATTCGGAAGTGCGACACTACGTTGGACATCCCAGACAGGAAATAGTGACAAATATTTTAGGATAAAAGAGTATTATGAACTTGATAATGTTTTGTAAAAAAAAGTCAAGCTGTCTTTCTTTACATGAGTCATTGGCTCTTCAAATTAATGGTTAATCAGCATAATTATTTCATTGCTAAATATCCTGTGTATCTCTTGTCATTTCTTATTTCCAGGTTGTGCTTAATAAGTTTCTCCATCCGTTCTTGTCTTCTGATGATTTTGCTTGCTGACGACCTTTTCTTTGATCTCATTGCAGAGTCTTCAGAGAAGAAACATTCTTCAATTGATGATTTGTCATCTCTGGACTTAAAAACGTAAGTTGCCAAGTTCCTGTCCAGAGCTCTATTAATCAGCTATTTACATCCTTTGAAATATTGTTTGATAGGTAAATGCATCCTTTGAATGCGTATCATTCTATGTCACTTTGTTATTCTATGCATAAGAAAAACCTTCAACGATATATCTTTTATGAAGTATTAATTTATTCATATAACGAGAATCCTGATATACAAGATGTGGAGAGTGGTAGAGGCTCTTACAAAAGAATATTATTCTCTACGAGGGACTACTATCATATGTGCTTTAAAAGTATTCTAAAAACAAAAACATTATACTAACTTTTACGTGGTTATTCTCTACTTTTTCGAACACTTTTCTTCTCTTTCCATATTGTTTACAAAGCAAAGGAGCTACTTTTAGGGGTACTACAATACAATAAGTTTCTTGGATAAACTAGTGATGTCACTGTCTTCTTCGATGAGCCGACTGTTTGTCATGGAAAATGGTTTCCTTTTGGGCTTGGCCTTGTGATTAATGCATTAGACTGAAGGTTTTTTTTTTGGACTTGGGATGTCTGGTTTTGGTGCTTGAAATCTCAGGCTCTGGATCTTAAGTTTGGGTTATTGGTTCAGATCTAGATTTTGGTGTTTTAATCTTTTCTACATTGTGGATTTGGTTTAATATGTGTTAGGTTGGGTATAGGCTTGTAGGTTTGGTTGTTATTAGAGGGACGCACGTTGTGTCATTTTCGTTGGCATTGGGCCAAGTTATTTTACAATCCTTGGACCAAAACAAACGTTAACATCAATATCAAGTACATACTTGATTTATCCACTTTTTGGGGGCATCCTTTACCTGGTCAATTTGGATTGCTTGTTTGTCCTCTAATTTACGAAAGAAGTGACTGACTATTACCAGCATTATCTTCATCATTTGCAATCACAGGGCAGTTTTAAGAAACAATTACTGCTGGAGTATTTAGAACATTAACATGGAATGGTGCCCCCCCCCCCCC